CCGTTCATCGTCGTGTTCAACACGACGATCACCTGTCGTGTTTGGCAGGTGATCGTCGTGTCGAACACGACAATGACCTGGGCGAGCGCAGGACTGCCCTACGGGTGATCGTCGTGTTCAACACGACGATCACCCGTAGGGCAGTCCTGCGCTCGCCCTCAATGAACCCCGCCCCGCCGTTCATCGTCGTGTTCAACACGACAATCACCTGTTGTGTTTGGCAGGTGATCGTCGTGTCGAACACGACAATGACCTGGGCGACACGTAGGGCAAGCGCAGGACTTCCCTACGGGTGAACACGACGATCACCCGCAGGGCAGTCCTGCGCTCGCCCTCAATGAACCCCGCCCCGCCATTCATCGTCGTGTTCAACACAATGATCACCTGTCGTGCTTGGCAGGTGATCATCGTGTCAAACACGACAATGAGCTTGGCGAGCGCAGGACTGCCCGACGGGTGATTGTCGTGTTCGACACGACGATCACCCGTAGGGCAGTCCTGCGCTCGTCCATATGAAACCCGCCCAGCCGTCCATCATCGTGTTCAACACGACGATCACCTGTGGTGCTTCGCATGTGATCGTCGTGTCCAACACGACAATGAATGGTGAACACAGCTTGAAAGTGCCACGTGGCGAGCCCTCGTTGAATCTCACGGATCTGGGCAGATCCTCACCGTCCGTACTTTGTCCTTCACTTCGTGCTCGTCGGTGCAAAGTCTTGCTCTCGCTCGCTCCCGCTCGCTGGCCCTGCTCCAACGGTCTGCTCCAACGGTAAGGTTTGGTCCTGCTCTGACGTGTGCTTCGACTGTGCCACCACACCAGCTATGAGAAACAAACACGCACGCATGAGAAACATGCACGACGCCCGCGTATGCAACCGGGGTGCACACAAGGTCGCGACGTAAGCGCCCTGCGCTGAAGGCAAAGCAGCGTCGATATCGCCCTGCGCTGAAAACACCCCTCGTGAAAGTCGGAGAGGATGAAATGAGAAGTGCGGAAGGGACCTGCAACTCTTTTTATACTCTGCGGCGTATCCTTCCATGCGCTCCGTCGGCGGTCCGATCGTGTTGAACTGACGGTGCTGATGACCCTGCACCAGAAAATCGGTACCGGACCGTCGACCCTCCTCCGGAAAATGTCCCCTCCCGCGCTACGTGGACCGTCAGATCTGAGCGACTGACGGTGTCGATTGAGCGTTCCGGTCGACCAGCGAGGAGTAGGCCAACTGGTTTGGGACCTTCCCCCCACGTCAAAATTGGGCCGCCTCGTTCCGGTCCCCCAACGGGAAGTAGGCCAACTGATGCCGATAGCTTCATTTCCTGAGGGGGGGTACTCCGACCCGTGTTTTTGGAGCGTGCGCGGTTTTTGTGCGGTGCGGCGGGCCGAGCTGCTGCAAGCGGGGCAAGCAGAGCTGCTACTGCGTGAATCGCCGCTCGAAGCTGCTACTGCGCAAATCGGTGATCTGGTTTACTCGACCGTGGTCCTTTGCCCATGAAATCATCCCGCCACATCTCTCTCTCTGAAGATTGTGCTGCGAACGGTTGATGTTTATAAATCGACAGTCACGATCACTCTGTCGTTGTGTTGCGTCTTGGTGACGTCAACATTTAGCATGTTCGTGGGTTGAAATGGTCCCTGTATCTCCTTCTGCACACTGTGACCGTCGTGTCCAACACGACAACCAAACCTAATGGAATGCTTTTTGTTGTGCCCTGGTCATCTGCCGCGCCCTGGTCATCGGATCCAACACGACAACCAAACCCCGTGGAGTGCTTTTGTTGTGCCCGGGTCAAGGTAACCAAAGCTGGTTTG